AAATAAAAACATTTATTACTACAGTTATTATTCTATTAATTAAAATATCAGGGAATTTGGATTTTCTAAAGCTTTATTTATTTTTAATTTGTTTACAGTATTTTTTATATATTTTTTCTAAATTCCTATTTCCAATCATAATTGTTGACCCAAATTGAGTTTTGTAAGTTTTACTTATAACTTCAAAAGTTTTATCAGCTATTATACATTTACATAACTTTTAATGGATTTAAATTATGGGTCTTTAAATTTATGTTAGTGAATTATTATATTTCGCAAAATATTATATGTATCAACTATATTATAATCATTTTTGTAAATCAATTATTTGTTATTTTAGTTTTAGTGTTATACATTTTTATTTTGTTGGTTGGGATGTAAATGTAAATGTGTATTCTTATGTATTATACAAATTTTTTGTTTATATGTTAAGGGATTTGATAGAATAATAAATATTAATTGAACTTTTGTTTTATTTAGGTATAATTGTTGATTCATATCTTATAGTAATAAGAAATAATTGATGTATAAAGTACAACCAAAACACTCAATTACATACTTATATAAAAAATATATTATCTCATGTTAATTTTACTTTATACAAAAGGTAATTATGATTAAAAAGAAACTGGATTACAATTCATTATTGTATGTTTGAGTGTGTTATGAGAAAAAAAAAATAGTTCATACATAATATTTATAATTTGAGGTCTTGTTAACGTAGTTTAAAATATTACTAAAATTTATTAAATAGATTTTAAATATATCCAGCTTGTTCATGAAATTATCTACCTTAAATAAGGCAAATTTAATATATTGTATTGATTTTTTTTTGTTCTTTTACTCGTAGTTTTTTAATACTCATGTTACAGATCTCAAAATAATGTTATTGCCTCAAGTACTATTTTACCAACATTCTGAACTTTTATTTTTTTTTCAAATGGACAGTTTTTGTACATTATTTTTTTTAAGTAGTGATCAGTCGTACAGCATTTGGGGTGACTTTGATACCCTCATTTTTTTGTATGATAAACTAATGGTAATAGTATGAAACCTATCAATTTTGCCCAATTTTAATTTGGTCAGCTAGTTTTTGAGTTATAATATAAATTGTATTATAGGGTGACATCGATAAGAACATTTTCAATTGTGTAATTAAAATAACTTAATAGTATTTAGGTGGATAATAATATAATTAGTTGACAAACTCAGTCTTCCGGAGCAGTATTGATTACATAATACATAATATAATAATAAAAACATATATATAACGTTTCTTATGCTGTAATATTATATAAAAGAGGATAAATTAATGTCGCTCTGCTGTACAGTAGGTTACAAGTTGGTCATTGTAATGGATGGTGTTAAATTTGAATTCTATAATATAAAATCATTGTATACGAAAAACAGTCTGTTAGCCCATAATGTTACGTAGTAATTTAGTATATTTCATGAAATTATTGTGATTAAAGTAATTTGCGTAATTGCGTTACTATTACACATTAGTAGTTACTACAGTAGGTTAAATTCATTTTTTCCAAAGAAATTACGTTTGGAAAGTCGTGTGTAAAATTTAATATACTCTAAAATCAGGGGCGCCATTTGGGGGGGGGGGGTGCCTGTAATTTAGTTGTCTACTATTGGCCTGGCCTAGGCATCATTTATACTATGGCCTTCAATTTGCCAATCTTTAATTATGTATGCACCGCTATTCACGGCTAATCATAAATAAAATTATAATATTATTGGGTCCTATAATTAGATAGTTGATAATTTGATATCAGTATCTCTTTATCCACAGGCGTGCAAATCCTAGGTTTCTATATTCCTAAAATTCTATATTGAAAAATTAAAAACACGAGAAACGTTTTTTTAAGGATTGGTCTGGCGCGGGCGGTGGGAAAAATTGGCCTCTTTAATTGTTTGCACACCCCTAAAAAAAACTGAAATGGCGCCCCTGTCTAAAAGTTTCAAGTACCCACGAATAATATTACACAACAAAATAACTTGAATCATTATTCTTGGTTATTTAATATGTAATTGCGTCCAAATTGCGTCTAAATACTGAACATAAAAACAATAAAAAAATGTGTTTATATACCTACCTATATTTTTAGATTCTTTGGTTACAGAATTAACTACTTACGAAGAACCTTGTATTACATTTTCAAATTTTTTGAGCGTGCGAACCTTTTTTTATCGACATTAGTTACAAAACAACAAATAATAATCGAAACTTGCAAATGCCTATGAATTGTTCAACATGAGCCAAAATATTTTGAACATTTTATTGTGTAAAGAAAATTTGGATACAAACATTAGTGAAATTTTCATGCACCTATCTATCTATACATTATTTTTGCTTACATTTCAACATTGTGATGCTACAATACGCTTTGTACGATAATTTAATGATGCTTTTGATATTCATAGGTCAAGCAATCTTTATGCTTATAGAAATAAAAAACCATTGCATTCTTTAAACATTCCATCAATCAATATTTTTATAAATGATTTTACGAAATATGTTAAACAGCTTAAGTTCTTAGTTGGTAATTTAGTGATGAGCTCTCGAACATGACTTTTAGGACTTTTAATATGCTTTAATAGCTCAATAGATTTTAAAACTCAGCCTATTGATACCAATAAATTATGTATCATTTATTCCAATATATAAAATGAGTCAAGATCATTTAGAATTTTTCTTTGGTGCTATTAGGTCACAAGGTAGTTTTAAAAACAATCCTACAGCAAGACAGTTCAAAATTCAAATCAGTATTCAAAAAAATCCTAATTCATGTAGAATTCCGCTATTAAGGTCTTGGTAATTGTATTTCATTATTTTTATTTATTTGTTTATTTAACGCCTTCATTAGAAGAGTAGAAGACATAGGTATCTTAAATTATTCTAGCTCAAAGCCTAAAAGTCCTATTGATGTACTAAATGTAACTTATGATGGTAATTTTGATGTCTTGGAAGGTGATGAACCATTCCTAAAATATCATGATTATATATTATTTAATGATTCAAATTTTAGTAATTTCTAGTTAGTGTTTAATTTATATTGCTGGGTTTGCAGTAGTTACGTAAAATAAGTAATAAAGTCAAATGTAATTCTTGTAAATCTGCTCTTATAGGTTCAAAAGAAAATCTATGCAATTATTTTGTTAGTTATAAAGATATTGAGGGTCTTACTTATCATAGTAATGATGTATTTCAATTTATATCAAGCATAAATATATTAAACAGTTTCATAAACATTCAAAAATAAATAAGTTATTGATTCAAACGAAAACGTCTACATTGTTTTATAAATAAATTACCATTCAATTTCAGTATGACAATGACCCATTATCGAATCATTTAATATTTTTAATTAAAACTATGATTTCTTTATATTTTTATATTAAAATAAAATATTTACATAAAAAGCAAAGTGAAAATGTATCAATTAGCCAGTGCCTCAATGGTACAATCAACTTATACTGTTTTTAGCAGGGACGGATTGGAACTTCGGACCAGCCCGGGAATATACCATTTTACCGGCCCACTATTTGTTGGGTGATTGGGGGGGGGGGGGGGTGATTTAGTGAGGTTTGTATAGGCAGATATAAGATACCTAGTTGTTATCAGATGTAATTTATAAATGAAAATCACTTTTCCTTTTTTTTAAAAGAGAACTCTCTTTTTGCAATTCTTCTATAATTTTATCTGAATCTAATAGTGTTAATTTCTATTTTTCCATGGCCATTATTCATTAACATGAAAGCTTCTAGTTTTGAATCCAAAAGTTGACTACGAAGTCTTGACTTAATGTTTTTTAAGAAAGAAAAAGATCTTTCATATGATATTTGGGTTGATGGTAGAGTGAGTACATATTTGTGTGCTAAAAATGAAATAAAAAAAATGATGTAAGGCTCTTAGAAGCCTTTGCTTCTAAAAGAAGTTTTTTTTTACCGAATTTTTTCAACTCCTCCTTTTTTATTGCAGTCTGATCCATCCATTTCCATTTTATTTTATAATTCACAACTATTAGGTACTATTGTAATATAAAATATTTTATCAAATATTCCTAGTTAAGTACTTAGTAATTAAATTGTAAAATTAACCAAATTGTGAACTGCTGACTGCCGAGTGCTGATAAGTGCTGAGGTTTTGAATGACGATTGATATTTTATATAAATAATATAATTTATAAATAAAAAATAAAAATATTCCTATTTAACGACTTGCATCATTCAAAGCCGTGATTACCCGCAACCCGCCGGCCCATCTGATCGACGACAACTCGAATAACCAATTATTTTACTGTCCACGGAGGTTGATTTTTTGTATAGTTATTGTTATTTCTAATATTTCTTATTGATAATTAATATTATTATTCAGTTCGGTTGTAGACATTATATTATTACAATTTACAACGCTTTACGTTATAATATTATAGACTGTTATTACGTAATATCACTAATAACATTGATTATAGAATGAATAATTTAAAATCAACGGTAATATTTATTAGGTTATATTTAAGTCTACTTTTCTGCTATTTACTTAGTACGCGGCCCATCGGGGATTTCCCGATTTCCCTATGGCCCAATCCGTCGCTGGTTTTTAGGGACAGTAATTATTATTATATTAATACTTTTTCTGTTTCTATAGGCACAGAATAGATCAAATCTATTCTGTGGTATGGGTACCTAATTTGTGACAATTAAAACTGTATTGTTTTACTATTATAATATTAATACCACGTATAATTCATACATGGTGTTCGTCAACAACAATTTATTATCTATTCACATCGTATTTTTTTTCTATTTACTATTCTAGTATTATTGTAAAAAAAAATACTTGTTAAAAATATTTCTATAATTAGTCACACTGTAACGGCTCAAATAGCGCTTCAGTAGATAGTGGTCATGGACCCCCCTCGGTCTAGTCCTGTCGAGGGTTTTAGTATTACCCCTGTTGTTTTGTCGAACACAATGCCGGGGAGGGTTCAAGTGACGTAACCGGACGACCCACAGTCTGCCGCCAACACCCTGAGGTATCCTTTTTCGTTCGGCGTCAACGTGTACTTCATAAGTTTCGTTTTCCTGTTGCAACGAACGTTGTACGCGCACACACACGCGGTGCTCAGGTCGGGACACGTGGCCGGGTGAGTTTCGTTCGCATTATGTTCCACGATGATCGTGTCACCGGTATAATCACAGTTTGAATTTATCAGAGACACCGTTACCCCCTGTTCAGTGTACATCGATTCTCGGTAACTTTTGCAAACGGACCCGCAAAGTTTGCTGGCGTCCGTCGGAAAAGTCACGTCCGAAACGAAATCGGCGTACATGTACACATTTGCCTTGCACAAATGTATAATTTTCGACTCCGGGAATTTCACGCCTGTAAGACAAGGTGTAACGATCGTGTTATTAAAAAACTGAGCGGAGAGACTACGATTATATTATTTACTATTTACAACTATTAGGCATACATCGCATATGCGATACGTTGTTATTCGAGTACACCTACCTAGTGAATGATATTTGCCAATTCTATGTAGTGTTCTCACCGGTCCTCACAAATTTGTCCGGGTCGGGAGTAGGATAAAACAAATTTCGGAGAAAATAAAAAATCCGGCCAAACTGTGTGAGTGCATAATTTAACCCAGTTTTTCTCAATTAAAAACATTTATAACCACTCCAAAAATGGAGCACTACACTCGGCCAGTGCCCTACCCTGTTTTCTAAACTAATACGGTTTATAGTCATTATAATCATTTTAATTATGCCGTTATGTAATTACATTTAAAAAAAAAAACGCTAGGTATATGGTATATCTATTATGTTATAACACGACTTTATTAATCTACTTATATCGAAGTAAAACCAATTGGAACAAAATATATTTTTGTATATTTAGGCCGAACACTTAACCTTAGGCATTCGTCGTCAATACATTTTAATAAAACGATACTGTTAGTGTTGTAAATGCATAAATATGCAAATTATTAATATTACAAATATTAACTAGATTAAGTAAACATGTATGTAACAATATTTAGTATTAAGTCTTAACTGGTAAGTCTTACCAAATGAGACAAATGGGGGGTCAATGGTGGTGATTGTGTGACTCGATTACCACCAAACCACAGTGTTTATTAAATGTGTTTATATTATTTGCTCGTTCATTGTGTACATTGAAGTGATCGGCGTATAATTACGACTTTAGAAATAATGGTTTAGTACCTTTTAAATCTTACCTACTACCAATTAATTTGAAACGGTTGATACAGAAAGACGGGATTATGTGAGTGACCCGCCAAACGGTTGTTTTGAATTTTGTGTCTTTGTTTTTTTGTGATACACAATACACATCGATGAATATTATGAAATTTATATTCTTGTGTATTTATTGTTAATTTCATTTAATTTATAACAATGTATTATATGTCAAATTAATAAAATGAAAAACAAAATTACTAGTCAATTTTATAAATTTTTTCTAAAATCAACTAGACTATAAAATAAATTAAAAAAATAATCTGTTTACAAGTTATAAGTATCAATTATAAACAAATTAAGTATAACCTAACCGGGTCTATATTAAATTTTGATCCTGGGGGCTGGGGCTGCTTCTAGGGCACTACCTAAATTTCAGTAAGTATTTTATGCAATTTTACACTTAAATTTTACCTACGCACAGACAAGCTCACTATGATGTCTTATAAAAAACCGAAGTTAAAATATTAAATACGCGTAGGTACGTATAACGAACCCAAGATCTCGAGTGGGTCCCTGAAATTTCCATCACCAGTAGGCGGTGCACTGCGAAATTCGTTCACGTTATTTTTTTTCGTATCTTCATTTTCTTCGCCTGAAAATATAACCGAACGAACATATGTATCTAAACCATATTGTGCATAAATATTGTGTAATACTTTTTGTGCGGCATACCAAACTTAGTAAAAATAAATGCTATAAAAGTTATAAGTTATATTATGTCAAAATGAATATTAAGTGTTTTAGAAGCATTACTATTTATCGGAATTGGCAGGCCACCGACGATCAGCAGTAGCAGCAATGCCAGTGCAGACATGGCTCGGAACATCGCTAGTGTATTACTTGAAATCATAATTTTAGTTAGTTCGATTTTCGTTTACAATTAGAAAACATTTAATTAAGTATAGAATAATTCGCGTTGACTATGTACAGAAAACATATATGGATATTTCCATTTATGATAGAAAACAAAAATCAGACATGTCACAAATTAATTTAATTCGGAAGTTAATATTAGGTATTTACATTATAACAATACGTTACTATAGTATAAAAAAATAATATATTTGTTTAATATGTTTTAATATTTCCTGATGAGGCGTATAAAAACACATGCTTTGGTGATTGTATTTTATATTAAATTAATAAATTGTTTTAATTGTACTAATTGAATTCTTTTGGAGTAATGTGCTATTGTTGAAGTCATTAACATTAATTGTTTATTGCCATTTAAATTGCTTATTATTGAAGATTATAATTATTGATCGTGACAATTTATTCTAATTCTTCACCACATGAAAATTCTTATAAAATATTTAAAAAATTCAAAATGTTTTTTACGATTGAACCATTCAACAAAAATAATAATATTTCAAAAAAATTCTAAAATATAAGCTGCATGACTTGAATAAATGTTTATACAATTAAAGGTTTTCCGGGTACACCCTGTTTATATACGCATAACCAAAATTGCAGTGGTAAAATAATAACAAATTCAATGTTTCATATATATTATAATTTATATTAAAATAATACAATGTAATTTATTATACTCAGAGAAATAAATAAAATATTTTTAATAATTTAATAATAAATATCATGTAAACGTAACGTCGACATCGAAATATAGGAATTATATAATATTATTTAAAATGTCCGACTGACATTATAAAATCACAATTATTTTAGTCGTCATCAAATGTTTGTAGATCATAACTTATTACGATGATTATATACGTCCACCAAATCATGAGGGATGGATATACGGATTATCATTATATTATAATTTATAATTACGGAGTTCGGGTGTCGTAGAATACCTAAGCATTTGTTTTATTTTGCCATTGGTCTAGTATTCGAAATTAGGTCGGCTATATAAGTACATATTTTGTTTCATAGTACATTATGTACTCAGAATCAGAATTAATATGCATGTTATTTTATTTTAATTATTTTTTCATTATACCTACATTTTACCTACATTTTATATTTTATCCACAAATTTGTATTGTTTATTGAAAGGTTAACATTTATTTTTACACCACATTGTAATATAATGTCAGCGAAAATGCACCATGTTAATTCCATATAGTAATATTTAATTTTTTGATAGTAATATTATGATACGGATAAGAAATTACGTGTGGCAATAGACACACGTTACAAAAATATTCAGTCGTACGTTAACCGTCCCACTGTGTCACCACTCATCACAGAGTATATTTTAAACGATTCGGGTTTATTGTGTAATTTTGTATTGGAAAAAATTCCAGAAATCAGAAAAACTCATTCAGTCTAGCTACTCGCATTATAAATACGCACAATTTCGCGTATTTTGCTTTTTTTTGAGGAGTTTGTAGGTAACGTATTTACTATTTTTTTTTAGGCCTACAACACGATCCGAACTCCAGTAAATTATTATAATGTACATAATCGCTTTGGTGCTGTCTAAATGTCGATCATCTCGATGTCGGAACCATTTCCATCGTCGTCGGTATCCTCCCAGACAGGTCGCTCCACCTTGCCGGCTGCGTACACGATCCCGTTGGCCACGTTGTACAGCGCATACGCGAACGGACGGTCCACGACCACCGACTCCTTGATGACTCTCTGTGACGTGAATGCGGAACCTGAAACGTTTGGTAAACCGTTAGCGATGACACGACGGCGGTCGTCCCGGTCCGCTTGTTTAGCCAGCGACGTATCGCGGTAAGACATACTGGTCAGCGAGGAGGAGGAGGAGCCGTCGACACACACTCGGATGTTGGCCTGCTGGACCACGTCGTCCAGATACAGCTTGTCCGACGACAATTTCGACAGGTCCGCCGATTCGGTGAACACGGCATTCGTTTTGGTTCCCTGCAGGTGATATTACAAATAATTGATGATGATAAAATAATAATTATTCACTGAATAAATAAGTAATATCAAAACACCCCAATGAACACAAATAACAATCGTTAAGCAAAAACAATTCATGTAACGACTGTCCACTATGCTGCATGCACGTAAAGCTTGTACCCGGGCATCTCTGAAGTTGCGCGATACCGACTTTTTCCCGTAACATGTATATACGTCTCATTTTTATCACCATATTTTTTAAACAAGTACCTAAGTCCTAAACAACTATATAATAAATACGTTGGTTCACATATAAGATAAACACCCTACAAAATACATAAGAAACAATGGTGGTAAAAACGTAGTAAAACGCTACCCATGGCATAACTTTTGAGACGTATATTTATTTGTTATAATATAAATTGAATGCGCTCAAGGGTCTAAAGAAAAAATATATTAGATATCAGAATGTTTGGATAACATATCAACTCTAATAATATGTAATATAATGTGCATGGCACATCAATAAATATTTTATCCTCCCTTCATAGCATCAAAACTAGCTATTGTTATTTATTGTTATGGTATAAATATTGTTACCTACCATAATGATGACTATTATAAGTTGTAATTACCTGTTGCAAAACCGCTTTCAGGTGGGTGATGTTACTGCTTTGGAAACACGGCATAGTTACGAAACCGGGCTTTATTGTCATCGCTTTGGTTAGTTTTTCGATACCGTTTTCTGGCTTAAGTTTTTTCAGTACATCATTCAGCAAGACGTCTTTGTTTTTCGGCAAAAGCACTAGCAGGGCGTATTCAGTGTTCTGAAACGTGAGCAAAAATAATAATTATTGTAGTTGGATAAACAAAAATTATAATTATATGTGGTATATTAATGTAGTATAAGGCAAGGGTGCCAGCAGAAAATAACTCCAGTCGGTCCAAAATATAAAAAACAAAATATTATGCAGTTTAGTACTTATGCTTATTTTTAATTTTTTTTTCAAAATGTTTGTTTTTACACATTTTATATCGGGCATAGGCTACGAACCTGAAAATGTTTGGTCAAGTTGTCTGATTATTTAATGTGTAGGAATACAAAGTGTAACTAAAAAAAAACTCCACGAAGAGGAGGAGGAGGTGATTGACAACAGTACCTACTCCTATTTAATTAATGGCAAAAGCAATTTAACTTACAATTATGTAAGTATCTACCTATAATTTTAAAAGTAAGTAAGTATGCTGGTTATAATATTTAATTGTTCTATCATATTCATTATTCATTGTAAAAACATAAACCAATAAAGAAAATCAATCTAACAACTTTTTGAACATACCTATCAGTTACTATGATTTAAAAAAAAAATCAATGGATTCTCAGTGTCTTGGAACATGTAAAAAGAGCGAACATTTTTTCCAAACACTTTTAGCCTAGTGTCATAAAACACATAATATATTCAATATTGGGTAAACAATTTATAATGAGCCTGGATACTTTACTGCATTTAACTTAAAAATATAATTAACACTTAGCATAAAAAAAATAAAACTTGAAAGTTTTTTCAACTGAATCTCTTAATTTTTAACTATAACAGTATCAAGATCAAAACTGGGAACAATTTGGTTCACTTGTTACTGAGTATTCACAATAATAATATTATTATATATATTATATTGTTCATACATCTCAGTTTGTGCAAATTATTTTCGGCATACATGCACATTGTACGCACTGTAGCTGACAAATTAAATTTTAATACAAAAGATATTTTAATAATGTTTTCGTGTGTAAATTTTTTGTATAAATAAATTAGTTCGATATGACTTATACAAATATACAATTATAGCTTATAACTCAAATTACCTAGCCAAATGAACACTGAATTCCCTCCCTCTTCTAATAATGCACTCATACAATGACTGGTAACTAATTTTTTCGGTTTCGGTTATCAATACTTATAGCAAAACCAAAACGTTGGCTAATACTAATTTCAATTTAGTTATATAATTTATATAAGGTTCAATAGAACTGAAAAAAATTTACATCATCATTGGAACAGGAATAAATAAATGAATGACTGACAAGTGAACAATTTTAGCTCATAATATCGATTATTGTTTCTAAACTATTTAATTAAGGGTTATGTTATGTTAGGTTAGGTTACGTACCTTGTAGGGCAATTTCAATGCTGTACATTCGAGGGAAGGTATTTGTGCAATGGCAAAATTGCCTGCTGCGCCGAACGCTTTGACCACGTTGCCGTTCCACGACATTGACGTCTTGTGCCACGTGCTTGTCGGCCAAGTCATTTCCAATGACAAACCGTTGAAGATCAACAGAGCGTGCTCTTTGAAATCTATAATTTACGCAAAACAATTTATAAGTAAAAAATATAACATATTATTTAATCGAATAACACTCCATAATTATTTCAAAAACTTTCAACGTTTTTGTTCATAATTTTAAGTTGTTAAGAAACAGTGAAAATAACATTTCATCACGTGATTAATTCGTTTACATTCCATGTTAAAATAAAATCTATAACTATTGTTAACATCAATAAAATTGATTATGAACATGAAAATTAGTTGAATTATAGAAAACATAATAAAGCATAACAATAACAGTACAATATTTTGGAAAATTTTAACTATTGTGAGTTGGCCGACTATAAACTGTTCATACGTGTACGTTCTACGTGTGTTTTAGAAAAAAGGCATACATTTATTTTGGGACTGACAGTAAATAACGATGTATTTATATTTACTGCAGAAGTGTCTATAGTAGTCTCGGAAAAATTTTCCCAAAATAATCAATGCTACCTATAGATAATAAATATTCGTTCGATAATGTTTTTTGCATAAGTCATGCCATACCGTAGTAATTACAAATCAACTGGCGCCATCGACTTCGTAGTTTTCAACAATTATTTAAACCGGTTGATAATATAATATAATATGAATTATAACGGTGTAAAATTATTCAGTTAAAACTCGAAGTAAATTTAACGGGATGAGAAAATATGAACTCGATTTGATATTAGCATAAACAAATTAGAAATATTTTATATGCGCACCTATATCGTGGGTTAGCCAGTCAGGTAAAGTCACTTTCAAACATCGAGTAAAATTATATTGATTGTATTACAGTAAAAAATATGCGAGTCGACATCAAACAGCTCCAGTGTTGTCGACTAAAATATATACGGAGGGGGTCTATGCTGCACTTAATCCGTTTAATTCCCGACCAGAGTGATTATAAATTATAATAATATGATGTTTGTAATTTATATATTTTATTTACACCCATTTTGAATACGATTTATGTGCATGTACAACATGTCTATTGTGCAGTGTCACGATTCACGACTTGGCTCGAAAATGCTTGTCGAATCCAGTTCGACGAGACCACTCGCCTCATCGTGATCGTAGGCGGATTTGTTCGGCAGCAGCCGTTCGCTAAAACCCGGTTTCAATATTCGCAAAACGGGATAAATCATAAATTATAAAGACTATTATTATTATATTATTCAAGGAGAGACATTCCGATTTATTTGTACGACAGAGCTGATAGATGATTCACAAACATACATTT